ATCCTTCCGCCTCAGCCTTCCAAGTAGCTGGAATTACAGGCGCATGCTACTAGATCCTTTCTTTATAAACTTAAAATATTGCATAGTAATATCAGATATACTTTAAAAAATTATACATATTCCCTCCTTGATAATTCCAGTTGCTATAGTAATTCTATAAGAAAGGGATTGAGCCGGGCTCGGTGGCTAAGCCTGTAATCCCACGCTTTGGGAGGCTAAGGTGAGTGGATTGCCTGAGCCCGCGGGTTCAAGACCCTCCTGGGCAACTTGACAAGACCTCATCTCTTCAATAAATCAAAAATCAACCGGGCCTGGTAGTGGGCGCCTGTAGTTCCAGCTACTCGGAAGGCTGAGGCGGAAGGATCGCCAGAGCCCAGCAGGTCGAGGCTGCGGTGGCCAGGAGCGGCCACTGCACTCCAGTCTGGGCGACAGAGTGAGACTCCAAGTCAAAAAAAAAAAAAGGGATTGGCAGTAGTGGGAAACTGCCAGGGAAGAGGGGGCAGGATTGGCAGCAGTGAGAAACTGCCAGTGGTGAGGGGGGCACACATCATCAGCAAGGGTACATGCATAATGAACATTTGTATAACGAACCCTGAATTGTATCCCACGTACTCAAAATAAAAAAAAATTAAAAAAAAAGAAAGAAAATTTCAGTTGCCTGAGAGGGAAGAATTTGAGGACAGGGCGGGAAGTGGGGAAGGAGGGCAACTCTCCTTTATCCGTCTTAAGCATCTCTCATGTTGACAAAAGTTAATTGGATTTGGAGGCGACCTTTTGGATTTCAGTTCTAGTCCAGTCATTCAGTAACTGTGGAGTGTTGGGCAGATCACCTTGTCTCTCAGGGCCTTTATTGAACAAATGAAGATGATGCCATCCTTGAGGGGTGTGGGGAACCCACAAAACCTAATCAGTAGGTGACAAAGGTAAAACTGTGAGGCGCTGTGTGTGCGTGGAGTGAGGATTGGTCTATTAGAGTGTCGGCCCCTTAGAATACTGCCCTGATAAAAAATCTTGCCCTTTGATAGAGAATTGGAGGGATAAGCTCATAAGAATTCATGAAGAAAAATGCCAAGGAAGACAGGCAGAAATCAAAGTCATTTGTGTCCCTGACTCTCCCGTTCTCCTTCCCAAGGGTCGCCTGCTGAAATGTCACCGGTCTCACCACACTGGGTCTCTTTAGCGAAGGGACTGGCGTACAAACCCGGAGGAAAGTAAAACAAAAAAGAAAAGGGGCCCTCCAAAGCAGGGAGGGGGAGATTGTAGAGGACAGTGGCTTCTCCCCTGAGGACCAAGGTCAGCTCCAGCAGTGCCAAGCAGGGGCCTGACCTGATGGGAAGTGTCTGTGATAAGTGCTGCTCTAAGTCTCAGAGGCCTTGGCTGAGGACCTGGCCCTGGGACCAGACCAGGGTATCCCTGAATGAGTGGAATTGCAGGTGGACCCCGCTGGTATGCCCACCCACCCCGAACGGAGACCTCTGAATGTGTTTCTCCCCTAGCAGCAGCCTCTCCCCCAGACATTACTGGGCTGGAGGGCCAGCTCCCATGCGTCACCTCTGCTGAAGCCAGACTCAGAGGGGACCCCCACACTCCCCGATCCACCACCTGGAAGGAGGGAGTCCTTGAACTTTCAGCCCCAGGAATTCTGAAATGTTGATGTGTCAGGTGTCGTTCTAGGTATTGAAGATACAACTCCAGCAAAAGTGGCAAAATGGGGAAGGAGTCTGTTGGTGGAGACACACAAGAAACACATGCTCGCGTTCATGGGTAGGGGCGGCAGCTAAGTGCGACTAGCAAAAATTCTCTGGGGAGAAAAACGCTCCGACAGGCGCTAGCAGGGTGCAGGACAGAGGGAACTCGAGAGTTATTTTAGGTCGGCGGTCAGAAAAGGCCCTCGAAGGGTTGCACTGGGCTCTCCGCCTTCCCCACGCCCACTCCGTTCCTGCTACCTGGGCTGGTTCTCGCCCCAGGGTCGCCTTCCCACCCCCACGCCTCTCCCGGCTCCTCCCGCGGCGGACCGGGCGGGGGT